CTAAGGGGCTTTTCACATGTTGAAGGAAAAACGTCGGATGGACGGTCTTTAGTTTTAATTGTTTCACCAGAATCTTTAACAATAGACTTTTCATCACCTTTAGCATTAACATCAACTGATGAAGGTTTTTCAGTTTTTTCGGTGAATTCATTATCTTCTTCAGCGGAATAAAATGCTTCATCGTGTGTTGAAATATCATCTATTTCTCCATCTATGTTTACATTTACATTCAAATTCGTTTCTATATCTTTTTCATCTCGTGAAGATTTTGATGAATTAAGTGTAGATGTAGTTGATACCTTAAATTCATCATGATTAAGTTTTACTCTTTTTTTATCACCTCGATTCAAATTCATTTCTTGTGGTAGTTGTGAAGTCCCAACGGTCTTTTTTTTTTTTGAATTTGGTAATTTATTAAAATCGGTATCAACTTTTTTCCCCTTATTATAAGATTGATTCTTAGAAATTGAATCTATATCGGGCCTCACGATACGAATAGCATTATTTTGAGGGTTCCTAGGTGATTGAGGATTCATAATGGTAATATCCGGAGTAGGACTAATGATACCACCCGACTGTCGGATATTTTGTTGCCTATTTATATAACCTGATCGATACGGAAAATCTAACATTTTTGTATTATCAGGTTTGTTTAAAGGAAATTTCCTAATCATTGATGGTAACGGAGGAGCGGTAGGAGTTAACGGAGTTGATAATAATGGCACATTAGGTCCGTTAGATGGAGAAGGGGAAATGATATTATCACCTGGAAAACCATCAGGTGTACTTTTAACCATTTGTGATTTATTATTAATAACCGGAGGTGAAGATTTTGGGGTCTTCAAAGTTGCGGCAGGAGATTTTGGAGTTAGTAGTTGAGGTGGATGGGATTTTGAAGAAGCTTTCTGAGAAGCTTTTTGAGCAGCTTTTTGAGAAGCCTTTTGTTCAATTTGAATAGGAATTTTTTCTTCAACGATACATAAGTTACTCTTTGACATCGCAAGCTTCGCACTTTCATACATCGCCTTTTCGTCCTCATGTTTTTTATGATAAGGCTACATTCGTGAATAAATAATAATAATAATAATAATAATAATAATAATTAACAAATAATTATAAATAAATAAAATAAAAACTTTTAATAATGATAATAGGATATTTAATGATAAAATTAATACCATTTTTTCTCTTTTAGACATGTTTTTCCACCTAGCACCAATAGCAGCAGAAATTTCACCAAACTTCATCCTCGGATTTTTTGCCTTTGTCTCTTCATATACTTCGTTCATGAAAATCATATAACCGTTTCTCGGTCGTTTAAGTCTGTCATGAGGTTGTAAAACACTATTATCGGCGTCAGAATCTGAGGATAATTTTTTTTTATATTTTCTCTTTGGCTTTTGATTTTCAAAACTACTTTCATATTCGAATAAAGTTTGTGAGGCACGTCTCCAAGAATCTGCAGCCATATTATAAGCTTCTGCAGCCTTTGAATATATATATAAAAAAAAACGAGAATAAATTTAAATTAAAAAAAAATTTTTTTTTTACGATCAAATAATTATTAAAATAAAAAGTTACACACTGCAGCAGTCTTCATGGACATTGCATCCAAAACTTCATGATTTAAAATCATTGAATTTGCTCGATTAAAATTTGCCAAATCACCATTAGGGACTAATTGAATTTGCGGACCACCAGGATAACTAATAGGAACAACCGAGAAAACATCACTTATAGCAGGTAAAGTTTGACTTGATCGATTGTTGTTTGGCCCGAACGATTTATGATCCGAATGATAGGAAGCATTGGACGTATCGGTGTTGAGAATGTTTGCGATGCTTGCTTTGTTACTCATGGGGAATTTTTTTTTTAGACAATACAGACTAAAAAAGTTAAGTTATAAAAAAAATATATATCATTATATACGTTTATATACTGGCAAATATTAATCTAAGGTATTAAAAGTTTGAAAGGTTTTAAAGAGGAATATATAAAATTATTTATAACCAGTTCAAATATTTAAAATATTTAAAATATTGATCGTTTATAAAAGGAGTCTTAATAATCTTTGTTTAAATATATTTTTATATAAACTTACCTTTTAACTTGTTAAGATAAAAAAAACAAACAAGCAAAAGAAACGTAAATGTTTTTTGTCAAGAGTCAGTCTTTTCACCTTGTTCGCCAGTAAAAGATATCTTGCATATCATAAAACGTATCTAGCTTATGCTGGTGTCTTAAAAAGCAAAGAAAAAAAAAAAATTTGAAAAAAAAATTTATTGGTTTAATAGTAACATTGATAAATAAATGTGGATTTATATGCAGTATTTTTTAACGATAATAAAGTAGTAACCCTTTTAATTTATCATTGTGACACGTGATATGGAAGATCCACTCGTAATATTTTCAGTTAAATGAGTAATACGCAAATAATAATAAATAATATAATATAATAATAATAATACATATTTAAGGTAAAATGTTATGTACTTTAGAGGTATTATTGTTATGGTACGTAAACATTATCTAAATATTTTGAGCATACGGAGGTGGCAAAATGAAGTATATATTTATATAATGTATATAGTATATATAGTATATATAGTATTATATAATTATATAACAATTTTTTTTTATTAAAAACCTTTTTTTTTTTAATCACATATACCCGGTATTAAAAAAAAGTCTTGATATTGTAAATTATCCGGTAATATGTGAATAAAAGGAGAATGAGATTTTACCGAAATTCGCATTTAAGATAAATGCGATTGGTTGAATTCATACGGCTCATAATATATTAGTATAAAGATTTTCATGCGCGAGTGCGTACGTAAGTGCTACATACTTTATATACGAAATATACACTATTTCTCAAAGTTTAGCGTAGTAATTGGTAAAATAAATATGGATTTTAAAATTAACACAATTTTGGTTAAATTATTCACTTTTTTTGACAAAGATTTTAAACAGTCAAATTTGACGGTTTTTTTTTATATTAATGTGGAAAGATTAACCTTATTCGAGATAATGTACGGTTTATATATATCGATAAATATACATTCTTTAAACTATCCCTTTTTGATAAGAAACCATGATAACGGGGACGGTATGTATGGTAATATAAACTCACCGTAATTTAGTATCATATTCGGTATAACATTCGGTACATTTGTATTTCCTATTCTTGATACTAAAGATAAAATATTAGGATAGGTCTAAAGATAAATTTTTATTAAGTAATACGATATGTATTGTCTATCCAGTGTCGCTACGTATTACGTATTCGTACATTAACATGTAGCTTAATCTTTAATACATATATATAATTCGTAAAAAGTTTGAGAATGTATGCATAAATAATCTTGCATTACGATAATGAATCCATTTATAAAGGATATTTCTATATCGATATCGATATTTTTAAGTTATACATACGTACGTACGTACCGGTACCTAGGTACGTACATATGTACGTACGCATTCATAAATAAGATTTTTTAGATTTTCTGCACCGTACATAGATATATATACCTACGTATAATAAGTAAAAATGAATCATTATGAACAAATGAACAAAAAAATGATAAAGATAGTAGTTCCGTCTGTTGGGTCGTGGCTGAAAATACTTTTGCAACGCCCATTTTTAATCCTCACAAATAACTTTCCTATTAAGGTTCCCCTCATAAATTGGGATTTTAATATAGATTATGTTATATGTATGTGTATATATTTTTGTGTATGTATTTTGAATCATATATATATATATATAAAGCAAATATTCGTAACGCCCTACATATAAGCCTAATCTATAATATAATATATGTGTGATAATGGAAAAGACTTTCTTTTTTTATACAATTTATTTAAATTAAAAATATATATGTAAGTACGTAAGCGATATTCCAGAGAATATTCTCCGGCTATTAAAGTTTATACATACGTGTCTTACGTAGATTGGATTTATTTATCTTATAAAATGGATGCAATGCTACGTTATTGTCTACTATAGATATTTAGATATAGTGGAAAACCAATCAAATTTCTTAATGTTAGTGTCACGCGTTTGTTTATTTAAGCAATTCGGATAAACAAATAATATGATTCATTGTAAAATGCTGCCAGATTTCCCTCTTTGGAATTTTGTCGGGATATATTATTCGAATTCGGCTTCAAAAACATGTAAAAACACGTTGATCGAGGGTAATATCAAACTTTTGATGATCTCATGTGCGCAGCTGCACATATTGCCCAGTCACGTGATGTGCGTCACCTAAAGCTTTCTGAGGTATATACCTTTGAAAAAAATCTAATTTTACTGATATTTGGGGTTCAAACATCGAAATTATTTAGGAGATATCCATATGGTAATAATTGGACCCCTTTGATCATAGAAGCTAATAAAATAAATTTGACAGCCCCTTAATCTCTGTAATACCGTCAGTTGACATGTACAGTACATACTGTATGCTACAGCAAATCCCCTGAATATAGAAAACCACTCAAGAAGTAGATGTCTAACTTATTACTTCCATCTTCAAACTGACTATCCTTCTCTTCATTTCTTACGCAAATAGTAATAAACCCAACTTTATTCAGACTAAAGATCAATAGTGAGCAATATTGTTTATTGTGACGGATTAAATGAAATATTGTACAATGTAAAAAATAGACAAGTCACCGAAAATAAAAATTTTTAAGGTGCATTTTTAGGGTTAGGGGTCAGGATTAGAGGTTAGTTTTAGGGTAGAGTTTTAATAAACAATATAAGTGGGTTTTAGAGGGTTAAATAGAAGTCCTCATTTCATTTTAATCCGATTTTCATTATGATCTGCGACAGTTATTCAATAGTCTTAATTAATCAATCAAAACTCTTTAAGTTTCATTCAAAGATTGGAAAAAATTAGCAATTTAATTTACAAAGATTTTTATTTTGAACAAGGATTTCCTGGCTTTCTGTAGAATTCGAAAATAATCTTAAGCATCGAGATTGTCTAGGTTCTTAGTGACAGGGTTGGGCAATCTATATATCCAGTGCTTTTTTACTGGACACTGGACATTTCCGAATTGTACAGTGTCTAGTGATATAGTTGTAATAACGTTATAAAATATTGTTAATAAAATTATGCTTTTCAAATTACTGTAACCCTGATGATTATCTATCACAAAGAAATCCGAAAATTTTGATGCTTTGTTATAAATCAATCTAATTTTTTTTTCTTTAAATTACAGTGATTTGAAGGTTGTCGCTTAATTCCAGAAAGTTAATTCCTCGACAGGACACTTACCCGACATTACATAGAGTTAGAGTTGGGGTTAGTATTTGATTAGTTGCGGCTATACATTTTTAGTAGATTGTCACCCCGTGTGATGTCAGGCAAGTGGCCTATTGGGAAATAACTTTTGGGGAATCGTACCGTAACTTAACTTGAAAGCAGATGATTTATATTGTAATTTTCAGTAAATAGTACCCTGAAAAATTGGTCAGCACCCTCTTGAACTAGCAATTTACTATTTAATTTGATTAAATTAATGTTAGGTGGGCACTTTAACAAGAGGATACTATTGGCCGAAAATAACCGTATTGTCCAGTGTCTAGTTTTCATAATCAATTGCTTTTTACTGGACAGTTCTGACACTGGACACTGGACAGATTTCCGATTGTCCAATTGTCCAGTTACCCAACCTTGCTTAGTGAGATATCTTTGCTCAGATCTTCAAAAATATATCAATAAAGACTTAATTGTAATGTTTTAAAAATGATTTCTAATTATACTGTTGTATGGTTTGAAATATCCCCAAGCATTGAGATTGTTAAGGTTCTGTCTAAAGGTACTAGTGAAATAAAATTAGGGCAATGACAGAAACTGGTGTTGAATTGGTGAAATTGGTGAAACTAATTTCACCAGCATCTCTAGTTCTGTCACTCAAGAAAAGAAAACCAACCGATTAAGTTGTAAATTGTAAATTTTTCAACTTAATTTCAATGCACAAAATATATTTCGACCATAAAATGTATACAGTCAACTTTATCTATTCCGAACTGTCCGTTCTTATATGTAAAATTGGTCAAAAAGTTCGGTTTTTAAAGAGGTATTATGTTACTAATCTGAACTTTATAATAAAATTTACAAATGTTCTAGAGTTTTAAGTTCGGTTCTCAGAGAATTTATTAAGGTTCATATTAGAGAGTGTGATTGTATATCCTTTACAGAAACTTTGATGTTTTTAAAAATGCGATTGCAATAGAGTTATCATAAATATACTATAAACGCGAAATAACGCGCAGGGGTGTAATTTCGAATTTTGGCTTAAATTAAACCTAATTTGGGTCATTATTCAAAATAACGCCCCTGCGCGTTATTATATTACTAATATACAATAATATAATTATTATTTTTAAATTAATAGTACCTTTAAGGGCTTTGTAATTTACTGCCATAACGATAATATCGTACCCGGATCTATATTTTTATTAATTATTGATATTATAGATATAATATTAATATTTTGCAAAATTGAAAGATCCTGTAAAGTCGCATATTGTTCAAGCTCTTACTGAAATATATTACTGAAATATAAGTATGAAAAGAATTACCGACCGAAGTATGTCACGTGACAAAGCCAGGAGCACGTGACTTACACGGTCATATCTGCTGTGAATTTAGATACTATATTTATTGCAATTCAGATACTGTGCTTTTTTTATATTGGCATTTAATAATTAATTACTCACATGATACTCTTCTATGGGAATTTTAAAATAAACAAATCTTTTTCCGTTTTTAATTCGAAACAGCAAAAATGCTATTTGAAAATCCTATTTATTTTATAGAATGCGCAGCTTTTTGTTATTAATTTAAAAATTCCTATTATAATTGAGCTTTTTTTTTTTTTTTTGCGCGTCAAAAAACTTTCATATAAAAACAGATTAGTGGTGAACAATGAGAAGAAAATCAGAAAACAATAGTTTTGGAAAATTTTATTATGATAGATAGTTCATGATCTTTACCATCGTAAAGTCGTAATATAACTTATCAAGTTTTTTAATAGTGGTAGTAATTCATATAGAGTAATGCTTGTGCAACCTTTCTGAACTTTTATAATTGCTCTCAAATAATTTATTGGACTACAAATTGCTCTCAAATAATTTATTGGACTACAAAAGGTTTGTTTAACAGAAACAAACTTTAATTTGTCCTGATTGGGCTAGTTAAATTTGATTAAGAAACAAGATTCTAAGTTTCTACCTCTCAAATTCAGGGTCTGTCGAAATTTATTTAACTTATGTTTTATTTACCTGTGTTCTAACCTTTTTTGATTATATAAGACTGAATTATGAATCATTTTATTGGCGTAATTCAAACAAAAAAATGCCATGTTTTCTAACATTAGAAACGTATGATTTTGTGCGTCCCTCTTCTATTTATTGCTTATCATTCTTTATTTGTATTAGCTTGGGACAATTATGTGCATGATTAAACAAAGAAAAATCTAATTCGGATTTATTTGAGTTTTCTCTTGGCTAATTCTTTCTTTTGAATCAAAAGTTTATATGAGTGTCCAAACTAAAACAAAAATTATCACCAGATAATGCTGAAATATTCATCAATCTATCGCCAAATTACCTTATTAACAACACGACTGGCTAATGTTGCCAGGAAAAAACTGGAATTGTCAAGTAGTATCTTCTTGTGATTAATAAAAAATATGCAGGTTACATGCCATTGGGGAACACAGTGTCGATTTCTTAATATGGTTACTTTAGAGATATTAAAGTAAAGTGGTAACACAATTGTTTGTATTGCTACACAATTGCTTTACCCTTTTTTTTTTAATTAACACAACATTTTTCTGAAAACTTATTTTTCTATCGTTTATTATTAAAGTTTATGCAATCAGGCGTTAACAAATAATAAAAAAAATACGATATAAAAATTTAATTTATGTGTATAAAACATCTTAATTCCAATTTTGCTACATGTTGCAATGTTATTTTGAAAGAAATGTTCCTAATACTGTAGTACATGCTTTATTTATCATTTACAATATATACGTAGTTAATTAGTTAAGAATAAAACACATTATAATTCTTTTTTAGATAAATGCTGTATTGGTAAATAGTTATTTTAAATTTCCGATTACAATTTTTAATATTTTAATTACTTTTTTGGAAATCTTTGCTAATTTTTATTAAATGATTTTTTTATATCAGTTATATTTTCTTTATATAACTGTTCAAGAGTAACATATTTATCATCTAAAATGACAACTTTTTTCTGAATAAATTAAAACATGCAAATATTTAAGATTTTTATAATAAATAACTAACTAAACATATGATATTAAACCTTTTATAACAATATTATTTTATTCTTAGCATTGTGCTAAAAAAAATTTTTTTTGTCATATCCCAACTTAAAACTACAGTACGTTTAATAGCATAGCGAATTTTTATTATTATTGGTTAATTTTGTAGATCTCATCTAATGAAGTCTTATCGCAGCCACGAATACGAATTCTCAGAGGTTATGACATAAATATACCAAAGTAATCCGGTAATCGGCAAGGTAATTCGGAAGTTAAATGAGAGGTACGTTCAGACGTTTCAATTTAACCAATCAGCATAAATATTATAAATCTATTAAAGCCTAGTAATTTGTTTTCAAAAGGTTTACTTCTCTAATTTATTTTTATTAAGAATTTATTTATAATCCTAAAGAAAATATTGCCAGTAAAATAGGTTAGTGACACGAAGCAATGAAACTTAATGCTAGGTTAGCGTTAAAACATAATGTTGCGTCCAAGAGTATTGATTTAGAACTAAGGTTAAATTAGTTTGCGTCAATAGAGCTGACATTAGAATTTAAAATTGTTTTTATACATTTTTATCATTTTTATTAGTCTCCTAGAATAAGTGTTCATGCTTTCTATTTTTTTTTTTTCGTCCTTTATAATATTTTTATAATGTTTTTAATAAGATTTTGTTCATAAAATATTGTTTGTGCTGAAATAATGTTCTTAGACTTTGAGTTATTGAGATTTTGTAATAACTCTTAATATCGATTTAGTCATATATAAACGATTTCGATTAGCCAATAATATTTGTGATGTCATGGGATGATCTACAAAAATAAGCCAATAACAATGAAAGCTGCATTTTAATAAGTACTAATAAAACGCATTTATAGGGGTTTAACACCCACACTATATATTTAGTCAAAATTACAATAGATTTTAAAGTTGGGTATAAGAACGTAAACCAAGTTTACTTAAAAATCACATATATATAGATATATAAAATGTGATAGGCTAAAATGAAATCAGATTAAAATAAAATATTGGATAATTTTAATATGCTTGTTAGTAAAAGAGTATGTTCGAGAGTTTTAGGGAATTAAAAGACCCCAAATTCCATATTACTGTATATCATTTGATCACCGACAACAACACAACAATAAATATTAAAATTTTTGCACTTAAAATATTACTAATGCCAATTACATCACATACTTTTCAAAATTAATAGATTCTTTTATAGAATTATTTAAATCAAAATTAGATAACAATTCTTTAAAAACAAGAGATTAAACTATTTACGGTTAGATAAATTTTTTAGTTTTACATATATATAACTTAGTGCGCCCTAAAAATTCATCACAATATCCACTTAAGGATTCTAATGAATTGATAAATTTATCATTTATCCATTAAACCATTGAAAGGAATTAGATATAAACCGTTTTAAACTTATAAGGAAACCCATAATAAAACCCAATTTTTTCTATAATTGTATTACTTTTGGCTTACTTTCGTTCACATGTTAATAAACATGACATAAATAACCATTACACTGTATTAAAAAATCCATTTCAGTATTCAAAAATTTTTTAATTGCAGTAGTATTTATCGATTTAGACAAATTGTAACATTTATATTCCTGTGAATTTGTTTCTATTTAGTATTTGTTTCTCTGCTTATGATCAAGAGATCTGCATTAAGTGTACTGCCGATTATTACTATTTATGGGTAATGCATAGCTTATCATATACTCGGCAACAATGATATACTAAAATGTTAAATTAAATGTTAAATAAAAAATTCATTTTGCAAAGATTACAGTTTCAAAATTAATTGAGCTTTAAATTGATAATAATCATATCTTTCAAATTAAGTCTTAATTTTTGAATTTTAACTTTGACAATCAAATTAAAAGCATACAGTAATAGCAAAAATTTGTATATATATACAATATATTACTTGTTCTTGCAGTAATAAAGATTAATAAAAATCTTTGATTCATATAATATCAAGTTTTTTTTTTAATCGAGCTTACTGAAACACATTAGTGGCGTTTAACATCACGCTTGTCATTCTCAAAGTAAAGATACGTAATACCTCCAAATCACTTCTCTAACTTTAATCCTAACTGACCTAATCCTAAATTTTAATAATAAAATAGATACCGTAGAGCACTGCGTTCGGTAACCGGGATACAAATCAAAAAAACCTAGCTATATAATCTGATTTGTACCCAGGGGGGAAAAAAATGATAAAATCCAAAGGGAATACTTCTAATAATTATTAGACAGGGGTTATGTTTATTGGACAAAAGTAATTGCACAAACTAAATGGGAAATAATGAGGTTATAATTTGGTATATAAAGTACTATTCTAGGGGGTAGTAAATGCAGTACGTACTCTACAATATTTTTTATTTATTCAATTCAAATAGTTTTCAATTCTTAAATATATGTTTGTTAACACGAAATAAAAAAGTCAACTTACTTCTATTTCCAATATTACATTACGTTAATTAGAAATTAGAAATTCGGTGTCAGTAAGTTAATTTTCTTATATTTTAAATAAAAAATATGTATGTCTATCTAATTACAACATAGGAGCAGCCTTCTTTAAAGTAATATTCACATGAAGACACTGAAAAATACAGATTCTCAATGACCTACCCGCGTAATGCGGTGGCTTATCTCTACTAATCAGTAATAATAATGATATATTGGACCAAATACATACAATTGCAACACCACCTGAACAAAAAAAAATGCCGAGATATTGTAATCAGAAAAACCTCTTTAAAGTTTTTCCAAAATCATAAAAACAAATCAATTCTTGTTATAGTAAATTTACGGCATGTAACGGATTATTAAAAAAGTTCTAGAATCATAAACCAAGAAAATTAATCGATATCATTGAGATGATCTAAAATCAATGTTACACGGTCTAAATATAGTTGATGTATGCCCTTTTTTAATTTACTTCCAAGATTTCTCTTCGGGCATCGCCTAAATATTTTTACCATAGCATATAATAAGAATTAACAATTAAAATGTATGTATCCTATTCACAGAAAAAAAAAGTTTGCAAAATCATTGTATATGTATTACAATATTATATAAAGCATTTTATAAATCAAAATAAACTTTTATTTATATTTGAAATTTCTAGAAAATTAAAAGTGGTAAATAAAGGAGATATGTTCCAAAATTTGATGTTTAAATTTATAAATTTCTTGAGTTGACTATAATATTAAACCTTTCTAAACGTAACCATAAATTTTATTCACTTTAGTTAGTTAGTCCCAAACTCATAAGTTATATAATTTTGCTCAAAACAGATTATATATACATATAAATTTTGCTAAATAGTTGTATTTGGAGAAAAACTGCTTATCAACTATATAGCATGTTTTTATATGTTGTAATTAAATTAAACAACGTAAGAATTTTTTTTTTTTAAAAAAAAAAAAGGTAATACGTACTGTAGTTTTAATTACATACAGTAAATAGTGGTTTAAAATAGATAATAGAAGATATATAACCAGAAATATATTGGATACGCAATATCAGTTATATTCCTCTCCATCCACGCACATAAACTTTCATGTACCATTTTAAAAATAAAACTTTTTTTATGCATTGTTTCTTAACGTAAAGATTAAATATGATTAATACAGTTAATACAGTACTTATGCTCAATCACATAAATAGATATAATTAGATACATGTATTAGCCAGAGGATAATAAATGTGATACGTATAATTATATAAAATTCTTTCGGTACGTATAGTGAATTTACTCGTTAAGGTTATAGTTAGCGAATATTTATTTATTATTAATAATCCCGATTTTTTCATTGTAATTAAATAACTTGTACTACTAAAACTTTCGTTCTACTACTGGAAGACTCTGAAATCTCGATAAAATAAAAATGTGGCCGGATGCAGGTTTGTCCCCTGGGTGAAACCGGGTTATTAAAGGAAACTGCATTAGATAACCCAAATATGTTCAAGTTTTTTTTTTACCGTATTTATTATATTTCTGGCTGCAGGCTGCAACCAATCTGTTTTGATTCAGCAAAATAGCTTATTTTCCACGGAAATTCCGTGGAGATTCCGTGAAAATCTCTGCCGGGCACCGAAAGTGGGTCGGATTGACCGGCCTATTCCCGATCCTAGATCTAAATTATTAAGTAATGTTTACCCCCAATTTGAACCAAATTTCAGCAGAGTATTTTTTTGCAACGTTTTGATTGCTCTTAATAGGTAACACACTGTATACACAATTATAATTAATTTCATATTCACTTGACTTTTGGCGTGAAGCAAAATAATAAATTATGTTTTTTAACTTTTGCTATCATTATTGTTATTTAAAAAATTTTTGGCAATTTGGTGAACCTTCTCTAAAGAAACGGTCTTCAATCACTGTTTACAATGCCTTT